GCTCTACAACCCATATCAACATCCCCCACGTTTCCTAGAGCAGATCTCCCCAACAAACAACACCGCCTGCGATTCCCTCAGGACCGCTCACCAACATTTCTCTCCCACATGCTTTTCTCCTACCTGCGACACTGCCCCTCGCTCCATCCCTATTGCAATGCGAGTCAACAATCCACAACCCGGTACCCACTCACACACATCCCCGTCCGCTCACCAACACAGAGAAACACTGACTTTCAACCTTCCTCCCATTCCTCCATTTCTCAGCCTCTATAACAGCCCCCGTTTTTTACCGATGCTCGCTACCCGCCACAAGTTCAACATCGATCCTCTCCCCTCCAATCCCGGCGCACATCATAAAAGTACACCTCTATCGCGACTCTCCATTACCCTACCACACGAATCACTCCTAGTCCCCTCATTTCCACACCTATCACCCTTACCCCTACTACTTCTCCCCTACAGTAACAGTCCCCTCTCCAATCCCACATCAACATCTTTATACCCCTACCTAGGGGACCTGTAATAGGGTATGCTGCAGAATGTCCCCCCATCTCAACCAACATCTTCCCCTCTCTCGGACCCCTACAGCAAACACCCGCTCTCATCCGCACATCCCAATCCCGCTCTCACCTCTACATCAACAGCCTCTCTTCATGCCCACACAACATTGCCCCTCTCGCCATCCCCACATCAACAGTTGCCCCTCCATTCCAACACCTAACACCCCCGTCCTCTACACTACACACACCCACTCATGCCCTCTACATCAACATTCCCCCTCAGTCCCACTTCAACATACCCCTTCTCCACTCACAGATCAACATCCCACCTCTCTCTCCATTCCCCTAATCAACACCCCTCCCACACGGGCCCCAGCGGGGGAAGAAGTTTCGACTACCTATCTATCATACTAATTACCATGCTTCAGTCACCTCCACCTTTAATGGCTTCTGCATCTCCAGCCTCATCTTCCATCCAACTACCCTCCGACTAGCAAATAAGTCCTCTGCCCACCTACGATAACTACAATTAGAGTAAGTAGGAAATCTTTTCTTATTATCAAATAACTCTAAGGCAGCCGAGCCAGCACCTCCTATTTTGATACTGAAGTGCCATATTAAAAAAGACACAAATTTTATCGGCGTGTCACGATCGAGGAATTATCAACGCTGGGTGGGGGGGGGGGGGGGGGTTGAGGAGCGCTTGACCGGCTCGTTCAACTGAATCAGCAGGAGGGCGGGGGATAAAACGCCTCGGCCTGGCGTCCCTTTAGTCCCTTTAGAGAGAGAGAGAGAGAGAGAGAGAGAGAGAGAGGGGTGTGGCTTGTGCATGTGTGTCTGTGGATGGTAGAGCGACAGTGAGGGAACGTGTGTATGTTTCTGGAAGTGAAACGAAGAAGCAGAAAAACAGAGGTCTGTGATGTATTTTGTGAAACAGAAGAACAGCTAAATAAATGCAACGGCCTCCCAAGAAGTGCTCGCCTCTCTCCAGTCATTTAAGCTAAAGTGGGTTATTGAACCTGAAGCTTGTTGCTTCTGCCCTCCTCGACTACGGTCTGGGAGCCGACAGGAAAGTTCAACACACAGATGGCCAGTCCGCCCCTTTGTAGCATATTATTTCGATGAGAGATGAGCAGATCGCCACTGGGCTTTCAACTAAATACACAGCCACGCAAAAACTGCGGCATTTGTACAGCTCCTTATGGGTACTGCAATTAGTGAAGTGCTTTCCTCCGTGGTGAAACGATCAGCACTGCACCACGGAGGAAAGCGGCAGAAAGTCACCTGGAGTTAAAGAGAGCGGGGCTGCGTTGCGTGCATGGCTTCCTTCTGCAGGTAACGGGGAGACGCGCTCTGGCGGCGGTCTCGTTCAGGATCCGAAAATACAATTTAAATATTTTGCACACTTATTCCACTTACTCCTAGTGTGCCACTGGTTACGGTGCTGCGTGCCAATGCTGGCACGCGTGCCAGGGGTTGCCGACCCCTGATGTAACCTGTCTCTAGGCTCCTTGTGTGCTAGGTAACCAGCATGATAGGTAACCAGCATGAAACACAAGTGAAGAGGACAATAATGGTTGTGGATTCAATCTGCAGCACAGACTTTTCCATCATTTTAGAAGTTATTTTCTCTTGATGGGTAGCAAACACACATCAAACACACACACAGTTGAGATTGTGGTCCTTCAATGTTTCACAAGATGCATTGATATACACACTGCTAGAATAAAGTGGTCATTTTAAAGTAGTAATGTGGGTTATCGAATCTCCAAGTCTAATGGATCCATTCATACGAGTACGTAGCGCTGTCTACTTGTGAATGGATTTTCCTAACATTAATGGTAATGCCAGGTCTGAACAGGGACACAGAATAAAGCAATTAAACTCGGTATATCAAGAGATTTGTAAATCAGGTCAATATTACAGGTGAATTATCTGACACAAATACTGTCATGTCTTCAGATTTGTCTCCCCCTGGAGTGACAATGTGACACATGCAAACTGTATTCAAGATATCACTCATCATATTGGCTTTGGATGTGTGCTAAACATGACATCATGTAAGTATGTATGGAGTAATACTCACTTTTACTCAGGTATTCAATGAGTTGATAGATCTGTGCTATTCCTTCTTCAGTTAGTGGTGCACCAAAAACAATTCCTTTGTCTGAAAGTCATCAGAAACACAGTAAGACTGATTGTATAGTTTGTATATGTTGTATTTATTACCTACAATCACTTATAAGAATCATTTAATAAATTGTAACATTGTCATCCATTAAATGGAACCAACAATGAATAATCTCAGGCTAACCCATATTTTAAGGTTCAGGAAAATAAGTGGTATTTTCTTAGCTAAAAACTACTTCAACAAACAATAATGATAAACAGATGAATTATAAATTGACTGCTTAATGGATTAATGGACAAATCATTTCAGCTCTGGAGGACTATAAAAACACTGTATGTCTGAAATGTTATTTAATGACTTTAAACAGGTCTGTGGATAAACAAACAGCACTTATTTTGTTGGTTGTTTACCATTTGTCAATGCTATTGCACACATACTATATCAGTCTAAAACTGCATTTCAAAGAGTGTAAACACAACCGTGTCCTAACCTTTTCGCTTCAGGAAGTTGAAGGAGCGCAGAAAGCCAGAGGCAGACGGCAGCTTGGCCTCTGACTCTCCGGTGAGTTGTGCAAACTCTTCCCCTGGAAGGTCTATGAGTCGGGTGATATTGCTAAGCACCAAATCCGCGAAGGCCTGTGGATGCTCGTGCCTCAGCCTCTCCACAAAGAAGTCCGGGTTAAAGATCACAGACTGGCTTGTGCTTGGCTTGACCTGGCTGATAAACATGGTGCATTTTGTTCCCCTGTTGAAGACAAACAGAGAGGGTGGGTTTGGACCAGAGGTGGAAGGAGTACTCAGATATTGTAAAAGTATCAGTACCAGAGTGTAGGAATACTCTGTTACAACTAAAAGTCCTGCATTCAAAATGTTATTTAAGTAAAAGTAGAAAAGTATTAGCATTAAAATATACTTAAAGTACCAAAAGTTAATGTACCCATTATGCATCAGTCCATTTCAGAATAATATATACCAGTGTTTCCCACAGATCTGAAATATACTTGGGGGAGTTGAGGTGACGTGCAACAACATTAACATTAACCTTTATGCTGGTCGCTTGTTAGCAGACCCTTCACGCGATGGCAGAGTGAACAGGTACAGGCCATAATGATAGCCCTATAGTTTAAATCTACTACCCACACATGACCATATGGAAATGGTTTACTATTTTAAAAAAAAATGTATTTATAAATGTATTTAGGAACCTATCCATTAAATTTAAGTGGGGGTCGACCTCAAATCCTCCAGGGGGGTCCGGGGGCCTTTCCCCCCCCCGGTAAGATTTTTTATTTTATTTTGGAGTTAAATGCATCAATCCGGTGCATTTTGAGGGGAAAATAAAGAGACTAGATCTATAGAAACACCTATATTAAACAGAACTGTATACATTTCAATAATCATAAAATCATGGCCATAACCAATAACATACCATTTCCAATATGAAAAAAACACTGAAACTTGTTTATTAATTTATTTTTGGTTCATTTATAGTTGTGAGTGTGTCTGTGCTCCTGAATCAGCCTCTCCTGTCTCTCTCCCCCTGCTCCTCTTTGAGGCAGCAGCAAAGACTAGTTTTCTCTCAACAAGTTTTAAAAGTGTATCTTACCTTTTTTCACCTAGTTAACTTTTTATTTATTTATGCATATTTTATCCAAAGCGACTTATAATGACCGATTACATGGACATTCTCCCTGGAGTAACTAAGGGCTAAGTGCCTTACTCAAGGGCAGGGAGAATGTCCATGTAATCGGTCATTATAAGTCGCTTTGGATAAAATATGCATAAATAAATAAANGAGTTCAAATCCCGCCAGGAACACCACCACTAGTGTGCCCTTGAGTAAGGCACTTAGCCCTTAGTTACTCCAGGGAGAATGTCCATGTAATTGGTAATTGTAAGTCGCTTTGGATAAAAGCGTCAGCTAAATGAAATGTAATGTAATATAAAAGTAAAATATGCATGAATAAATAAATAAAAAGTTAACTAGGTGAAAAAAGGTAAGATACACTTTTAAAACTTGTTGAGAGCTAAAACTAGTCTTTGCTGCTGCCTCAAAGAGGAGCAGGGAGGANAATAAATGGTGACCACACCGTTTGAGACCCACTGAGAACTTAGACTAAGTTAACTATCTAAATACTCAGAGAGTCCTTTACCTCACCTGAGCTGAGGTTATCCCGAGCTTGAATGACACACAGAGACCAATCAAGGGCTTTGATTTATGATCTGTATGACAGTGGCCATGTCGGCAGGCCACATCATGTGGACAGCCAGTCACCCTGTGTGAGGCAGGCCACTTAACAGGCCAGAAGGAGGCGAGATCAGAGCAAGGGAGCGAGGGATCATTGTTCACAAGTTAATAAAAAAACAAAACCTAAATGGGTCGCGAAATATACTTGGGCGGCCGTTAATATACCTGGGCGGCCCGCCCAAGTATAGTCTATGTGTGGGAAGCCCTGATATCATATTTTTTGATTATTATTATTTATGCCTTAGACTTAGAGTGTTGTACATTACATTTTGTACAGCACTTGATTAAATCTACTTAGTTACTTTACACCACTGGTTGGGGCTCATTTTAAAGGCTCAACGGTTTGGGTTAGTAAACCTTTTGGGCTAAAATAAATGGGCTCTAAAATGCAGCTGTTAAAACAGAAGGGATGACATGTAACGTAAACAAACATGCATACGAACATACGCATCTCTTTCTTTTTGTATACTGTGAGCCATGTTCATCCCCCTGACAATATTTTTGCACATTTCTATACATCCCTACCTCACTCTAAATATCTGCACAGCCTTGATTCTTCAAAGTGCAGTTTGTCATATATTCATAGTTGTACGGTATTTTAGTCTCTTGTGTATTTATATTTGGTGTTTGAATGCGAAAATAGTTTTGTTAACATATTTTCTTTTTATAATCGTTATATTTTATTGACCTTCTGTTACAACTACTTTTCATATGTTGTTTGTGTTTGCACCACCATACACCAAAGAAAATTCCTTGTATGTGTAAACGCACCTTGCATAAACCCGATTGTGAATGTTCGTTAATGAAAGCACCGGCTGTTGCTAGGTAAGCTAAGCTGGCTAACGCTAACACGTCTGATACTAACTTACTCGACTACTTAATAGTTCACAACAAAGATAATGCATCTGCACTTATCAAGGCAAGAACTCACACTTCACGATGTGAGGTTAGATGTTGATTGTAAGACCTACTACACGAAAAGTTTGTACCTTCGGCTCAGTTTGTGATTGTTGTGAGGATCATTTTCAGCCGCCATCTTCGATTTGAATCTTCCGCTGTTTAATTTTTAGTCCCGCCCACGGCGTTGTGATTGGCAGAAAATATACGCACGTCAAGAGCTCTCATCTAGTGTAGGTCTATAGTAGTCTAGAAAAAAGGGAAAATGTTGTCATTTGCAATTAAATACAACATGGACCCTGTTGCACAGCATTCGCACTAAATGTGTGTGATGATTCATGTTTTGTATTAAAAGTCCTGATCTGCAAACTAAAACTGGTAACTAAAACCAAAATGTGGTGGATAAAAAGCTGAAACAATAAAAAATAAAGTGCTTCCAAATAGTTTTTAAGTAAGAAGAAATTAACCTATTAGTTAGTTACATTCTGCTGGTCATATTTACAGTTAAGACTTGAGCAATACACAGAAAAAACTCTTCAACAACATATATTTCAAACTCAACATAGTAACTCACACTTGTCATAATTTCTTACGAACAGAAGTGTTATCACACTTGATGTCTTTACATCAGTAACATTAATACAATATTTAAAGCAGTAAACACATGATTGACATCTAAATAGGGGTACATCCCACAAATTATATGGACATATTTCAAACAAATTAAACATCATTTTGTGTACACAAAATGGTACAATTATTTGTGTGTTTACTTTTATTTATTGTTGCTAAACCGTGAATTTATTGTTTTGAAAAGCCCAAGATTATCTGTATTTATTTTTGGTGACATTCATATCATTTTATGGTTTATCTGTAGGCCTACTGTTTGAGAAACAGTAAGTAGCGCCAAGGTGGAACCTTTGGCAGGTGAGCGATGACACCTGGGTTATCCTAGGGGGGACAGTTCCGCCCCCTCCTCAGAAGCAATCCAGAGTGATGATCAACCGTGTCCTGTCTATTTCATGATGCTGCACTTTTCTGTTTTCTACAGGTCAGTACATGATGAAAATGATCGATGTTAACTTGTGTAAATGAGATATAATGTTAGAGATGTTTAAGAGAGTGTGTCAGAAAGTTTTGAGCATGTTTGACATAGTAACGGTACTTTAAAAATAGTAAACTGTCGGCAACTATAGATGCCGTTTTCGCGGGCTTCAGCCGCACCGGCGCCGTGTCTAAATGTCACCTGAGCAAAGGCTCGCAGGCAGGTTAGCTGCTATATGATATGTTTTGTTTACCTGAGTGAAGTCTTGCAGGCACAATGCCTTTTTGTTTATGAACACTGACAGTAGAGATGTCCCGATCCGATCACGTGATCGGGGATTGGAGCCGATCACGTGATTTTCAAAAGATCGGAATCGGGAGAAAAAAATCGGGGATCGGGATTTCTTTTCTTTTTTTATAAATACTTTGTTTTTGTTTTTTTCAATGTTACAAAACAAAAATGACCATGTTCAAGTCTTAAAGTCATCCTGAGGCCTTAGTTTTGGTTTCAAATGACACAACATCATGTATGTGTTGCTTCTATGGGGCTTGTTTTCATAGACCTGGTTGCTTATTTCTCTCAAATCTGGCAACAGAGTGGGCAGGGCGCAGTGTCTAATAGTAGCAATAAGCTAACGTTCTTATTTTTTTTTATTATTTGTTTCTTTTCTTTATTACTGATGTATCTTTGTATTTTATATTCTTTTATTTTTTGTTTTTATCAATGTCACAAACTGAACTGATCCAAATTGGTCAAAATCAAATATCCGGAATCGGATCGGGGAGCAAAAAAGGTGATCGGGACCATCCCCTAACTGGACGTGTATTTAATGTGAGCTCCCTATACCAATACTAATGGCTTTTTCATTGAATGCTTTTATAAACTAAACAGTTCAGCTACACAATGTCCATTGTGAATTGTAAATAATATGTTAGTATTTGTTAAAGGTATATATATTGATAGAAAGATCTATTTGGATTAGCTTTATGTGGTTTATATTTGACTGTTGAAATTATCCTTGAGTAACCAGGCTTGTATAGTGTAATTCCCTAGTGTGCAGATCTTGGCACATTTGCCTTTATACAGTGTATTATGTTAAGTTGCACTAATATATTATAGTAGAACACTCTGCTTCGCCTATTTGCACATGTTGATATCTATACAGAATGGTTTTCAGAAAGTATAAACCTGTGTCACAACTAGCCTACTAGTGAGTGGATACCATGTTTAATTGGGAATGATGTTCAACTTGAGATACAAGTAATTACGCGTGAACATTAGTAGATCGATAACTTAAAATTAGCAGAAATGTGATATTGTTTGTTAAGTACCAAAAGCTATTCTGTATGTAACGTGTATGTGTACTATTGAATTTTGAATAAGAAATGCAATCCAGATGATCAACCGATCCTGTGTCTATTTCAATGCATGCTCGCACTTTTCTGTTTTCCCCATACAGATTTCTTTATTGTTGGCTGGTGGTACCAAGCTTTTGGGACCCGTAACAACTTACATAATTTTATCTTTAGTATTCAAAATGATTCATTTATTTTTCATATGCGTGAAAAATACAGATGGTTCAGAGTGCTTGTTGTTGTCAGCTCTGGTTGAATGGGGGCCGTTCCTCTGAATGGATTTCTGATTTGTAGCTGACTGTAACTGTCTTTTGTCCCATCTNAAATGTCTTCACCTCGGCTGACCCATGGCTGACCCCATGGGCTGACCCAACGCACACGCGACATGCACAGCTGAATGGGGAGAGCGCCTCCACTCGCAAATTTCATTTAGTATCATCATATCATTTGTTTAATTAAATGCTGTTAACTTTTATAAGTGTGGTACACCCCAAAAATTGTACAATTATTTGTGTATTTACTTTTATTTATTTTTGTCTAAACAGTGAATTTATTGTTTTGAAAAGCTCAACATTATCTGTATTTATTTTTTGGTGACATTCATATCATTTTATGGTTTATCTATACTGTTTGAGATACAGTAATAGTAAGTAGCGCCAAGAGCCGCGTTCACAACGGAGTACTTTTCCCACTTTAGTTCCGATATAGTTCCGAAATGTCGCGTTCACACCAAAAAGAGCCGGAACTAAAATTAGTTCATGAGAACCTTTTTACCCCCTTTCCCGTCCCTGCTAGAGAGAAGGGACTCTCATGCGGCTCTCTTGTGAGAAAAGAGCTATACTTCTGATTGGGTGGGCCGATTGCAAACCACGCCCCGTAAAACTCAAAAAAATTGTTGTGAAGCCACCATTTTATTAGCATTAGCATTAGCCCAGCGCAGAAACGCAGAGAGACTAACTTATGGCAACACAAAATAAAACATGGGAGCGGTGGAGATGAGGAGGTGTCGGCGTTCTGGCGATTTACTCGGAAGGCTTCAGAAGCCAGTCCCCAACAACCGGGGACTTCCGGCCGGGGATTTTGGGCGGCAGTATACGCCGTGAAGTTGTTTGCGGCCTGCCAGTAAACCCAAAGCAGAAGAAGAAGTGACGTCAGCGGCTTCATTTGCCTAATCCACCCCCAGGGACTTATTCCGGTGTGAACGCGATCTGTACTTAGTTAATCAGAACTAAAGAGTTCTGATGAACTAAGTTCTCATGAACCTTTGTGGGAAAAGTACTGCGGTGTGAATGCGCCTAAGGTGGAACCTTTGGCAGGTGAGCGTTGATACCTGGGTCACTTCCGCCCCCTCCTCAGAAGCAATCCAGACGATCAATCGGATCCTGTCTCTAATTCTTGCTCCTGCAATTTTCTGTTTTCTACAGGTCAGTACATGATGAAAATGATCGATTTTAACTTGTGTAAATGAGATATAATGTTAGAGGTGTTTAAGAGAGTGTGTCAGAAAGTTTGAGCATGTTTGACATAGTAACGTTATTTTAAAAATACTGAACTGTCTGCAACTATAGACGCCGTTTTCGCGGGCTTCAGCCGCGCCGTGTGTAAATGTGACCTGAGCGAAGGCTCGCAGGCAGGTTAGCTGCTGCGCACGGGTAATCTGTTTTGTTCACCTGAGTGACAACATCACCAAGAATAAGGGGAGCATTTTGCAAGAGACACCATGACTGAATTGCNCCACTTTGTATTGTTATTTTTCATGTTTGCACTTTAAATTTGCAAAAGTAAAACGTTTACTTGTCTATAAAAACTGTCCGGTCTGTATTCAAGAAAATGAATTCAGATTTAGTCTATTTATGATGATTTCAGCTCAAAAATCATGAAAATGATCGATTTTAATTTGTGTAAATTAGATATAATGTTAGAGATGTTTAAGAGAGTGTATCAGAAAGTTTTGAGCATGTTTGACATAGTAACGGTATTTTAAAAATACTAAACTGTCAGCAACTATAGATGCCGTTTTCGCGGGCTTCAGCCGCGCCGTGTGTAAATGTGACCTGAGCGAAGGCTCGCAGGCAGGTTAGCTGCTGCGCACGGGTAATATGTTTTGTTCACCTGAGTGTAGTCTTGCAGGCACATTGCCTTGTGTTTTTTTGTTTATTAACAATGACAGTGTATTTATGTGAGCTCCATAATATGTTATATTTGTTAAAGATAGATATATTGATAGAAAAGTGTTATTTGATAGCAATATGTGTTTTATATTGACTATGTTGAATTTCTCCTTGAGATACAGTAATTGATTGACATAGACGGATAACTTAAATGGAGAAATGTGATATGTTTCTAAAGTACAGCTATTTTAATGTAACTATGTGTACTTTAAATTTTGAATAAGGGCGCGTTCACACCTGTCTTGTATAGTCCGGTTGAATCGAACCCTGGTGCGTTTAGCCGCTTGGTGCGGTTCATTTGGGTCGGTGTGAACACAGTCCGAGACCTCTTAAGTGAACTAAACAACCAGACTCTGGTCCGCTAAAATAGGTGGTCCCGGAGTGCTTGCTTGCGAACTCTGGAGCGGTTAATTGCTGGTGTGAACGCAGTCCGCACCAAAACATAGGAAGCGCAGTATTTACGTGTCACAAGAACGCGGATATCTTCAACGAAGCGGAGGGATCTAGATCGGCATGAAGGTGTTCTTTGCCCCTTTTTTGCCACGGGAAAAGTCCGAGAATTCCGAGACAATTCCCTAAAATTAAAATCGGA